AAGTTTAAAGAATGTTGTGATCTTGATAGGATAACTTCTAAAAAATCATTGTGCTTGGATGTTCCTACTAGGTGGAACTCCACATATTTGATGTTGAAGGTTGCTACAGTTTATGAGAAAGCCTTTACAAAGTATTGTGATATTGATTATGGTTTGATGTCATGTACTTCTAACTGCATTTGTGAGAATGGACAACCTGCAAGTCCACTTTTAAGTAGTGATTGGGATAGTGTAAGACGTATTGTGAAGTTTCTAGAAATTTTTTATGAACTCACCTTGAAAGTATTAGGTACACTTTATATTACGTCTGATGTGCAATTTCTGAAATATGTGTTGTTGATTCTTCTTTGAAAGAGTTGATGCAAAATGAAGATGCTTTCTTAAGAGAAATGACAAAGAATATGAAAGAGAAATTTGATAAGTATTGGGGGGATCCACATAAGATGAACAAAATGATTTTTATCTCATGTGTGCTTGATCCACGCCATAAGTTTAATACTCTTTCATTTGCACTTGGTGCTATGTTTGGAGAAATAATAGGTTTGAAAATACAAGAGGATGTGAAAACATACATGGATACTTTGTTTAATGTGTATGCAATGAAAAATGGTGGTTCTGGTTCATGTCCATCTTCTCTATCTTCTTCATCATTGCTCTCAAAATTCATGCTAGATTTAAAGAAGCATAAGAAATGTGGCGGAGTTGATTCTAAAATGGAGTTAGATAAATATTTGGGTGAAGATGTTGAGGAAGACCATGAAAAGTTTAACATTCTGGGGTGGTGGAAGTTGAACTCACCTAGATTTCCCACTCTTGCTGAGATGGCACGTGATGTGCTAGCCATTCCGATTTCTAGTGTTGCCTCAGAATCAGCCTTTAGCACCGGCGGACGCATACTTGATCCATTTAGGAGTTCATTGACTCCTAGATTGGTTCAAGCTCTTGTGTGTGTCCAAGATTGGCTTCTTAATGAATCAACAACTTCGATTAAAATTGAAGAAGATTTAGATAATCTTGAACAACTTGAAGCTGGTAAGCCTATCTTATTACTTGTGTTTAATGTATACTTTATTTGTATGTTTATTTAGATTACTTCTAAACTAATTTCTTGTGTTACTATCTTATTATACAGAATTTATGAATACGGGAAGAGAGCCTTGCATTGTCGACATATAGTGATGTTCCATTTGTTGTACAAGGCTACAAGCTCAGGTATTTCATTANCGGAGTTGATTCTAAAACGGAGTTAGATAAATATTTGGGTGAAGATGTTGAGGAAGACCATGAAAAGTTTAACATTCTGGGGTGGTGGAAGTTGAACTCACCTAGATTTCCCACTCTTGCTGAGATGGCACGTGATGTGCTAGCCATTCCGATTTCTAGTGTTGCCTCAGAATCAGCCTTTAGCACCGGCGGACGCATACTTGTTCCATTTAGGAGTTCATTGACTCCTAGATTGGTTAAAGCTCTTGTGTGTGTCCAAGATTGGATTCGTAATGAATCAACAACTCCGGTTAAAATTGAAGAAGATTTAGATAATCTTGAACAACTTGAAGCTGGTAATCCCTATCTTATTACTTGTGTTTAATGTATACTTTATTTGTATGTTTATTTAGATTACTTCTAAA